CCTGGGACTTGAAAGCCCCCAGAGGACAGGATCCCCCACTCCCTCCCTACCTGAGCTTCTTCCCACACATCACAGCTACAGCCACCACAGCCCCGGTGAGCACAGCTCCAAGGAGAACCAGACCAGCAATGAGGCCCCTTGTGGGGGTGGAGTGCTGAGGAGGGGGGCTCTGGAAGGGAAGGGGAGGGGAGACCCTGAGCCCCAGGCCTCATCCTGGCTTTCTCAAAGACCCCAGAAAGGCCCCTGACACCCCTGACACCAGCCTCTGTGCCACATCCCCTCCTCACCCCATCTCAGGACTCGGGGCTCCGGCAGCCCCTCATGCTGCACATGGCACGTGTATCTCTGCTCCTCTCCAGAAGTCACCAACACAGCCGCCCACTTCTGGAAGTTTCCATCCCTCCCAGGCCTGGTGTCCACCAGCTCTGTGCCCATCTTGCTGCCAGGTCAGGGTGATCTCCGCCGGGTAGAAGCTCAGGGCCCAGCACCTCAGTGTGACCTCACGGTCAGAGGAGGGGGGTGGGTCACCTGTGTCTTTGGGGGGTCTGAGAGTGTCAGAATATTTACACTCTTGGTGTCCTCCATGGACATTTAAGCAGCCTCATGTGACCATCGTCACAACAGACAGGGCAGTGGGTTTGGAAAGAGGAAGCACAAAACCAGAAATCTGTGTGGACTGCAAAAATCTGAGATAATCTCCTTGAAAGTTACAATGTCCTGGGTTCTAAGGCCCTGGTTAGAAGATTCAAGTCTCTAAGGTAGAGAAAACAGTCTTTGCTCCTGACCTGGGAGGAGACTGAATGAGGACTCAGGTCTCTCTCAGACTGGAAACAAGACCTTCCGAGAGAACTTGGGGGTCAAACTATGGGGTGCCGGGTGGGAGAAAGGATCCCGTACAGGCTGATTACAAGGATGTCTCCCCTGCATTTGAGGAGATACCTGCAGTATCCCCTTATCTGAGCTTTCACTTTCCAAGGTTTCAGTTTCCCACAATCATCCTGGGTCGGAAACTTTTATGTACGATGAGATGATCAGAGAGAGGTC